TTTGATGACAATTTTACGTCTAAGATAAAGGCATTAAATGTTGAAGGTATAGCAGAGCTGAAACTGTTGGAATCTAAGTAGAGATGTCTCAGAGATTTCAAGTTAGTTAGGCATGACGGGATCGAGCCAGAAAGATTATTAGAAGAGAGATTTAATGTATCCAACCTTCTCAAGCGACACATATCAGATGGGATTGTTCCTTCCAGCATGTTTTGATGCAGCCTCAATCCTTGAAGGTTCTCTAATCTACCAACTGTTGCTGGAATCGGCCCAATCAACTCGTTTCCATTTAAATCGAACTCAATCAAGTTGCTCAGATTACCAATTTCCAAGGGAATATGGCCTCTGATTTTGCAGTCATATGCCATAAAAAACTCAAGGGTTGCAGACAGATTACCAATGAAATTTGGAAGGACACCATGTAAGGGATTGTTCCCTATCTCAAGATCCTTCAGATGTCTGCAACTTGTCAAAGAAGAGAGAAAGGTCCAATCGTGAGTGATCAAATTACAGTCATGAAGAATAAGAACTTCAAGAAACCTTAGATTTCCAAGTGTATTAGGAATAGGACCAGAAAAATCATTTGGTCCCAAGTCTAAGACCCTAAGCTTAGAAGCATTGGAGACAGAGTCTGGTATTATTCCCTCAAGGTTATTGCCCCATAGACGAAGCTCCTCCAAGCTTGGAAGTTCATTGCCAATGGTTGGAGGAAGATGGCCTATCAAATAGTTGTCATTTACACTAATTCCCATTACAGTTGAGATATTGAAGATGGCAGATGGTATGCTACCGCTAAATTTGTTGTGACCCAAATTCATATACCACAGATTGCGTAGCTTTCCAATCTCATCCGGTATTTCACCTGCAACATTCATGGTAATTTTATGTCTTCCAAGGATCTAAAGATCAACAGACATTGAACCAGGATTTGAACTCCATCAGCTGTGTCCTACATACTATTGTACAGGAAAATGATGCTAGCTAGTGACTTTGAATATTAATGAAGAACATGTAGTGCCAAAGTCTAAACACCATACGCTCAAAACTTTTCTGGGGCAGATCTGAAGTTTAAAAATTTTATGCTAGAAATTTGGTTTATAAATATAATAAAATATGAACAAAAATAATAGTCCAATTTCAAGTCAATTATATAATCAATTAAAATTAGTTTTTTTTTTTTTTTCATGATTACTTGGTTAATAGTTGTGAATATAAAATTTTTTATTATAAAATTAAAGATATAAATAAATTTGATTCAATAATTTACCACATAGATAAACTATGGCTAAATTTAATAAGCATGAACCAGAGACAGTAAGCAGACCTGCCACTCATAACCTTTATCAAATTTGCATATCTTGACTTGAACAACCTAAAAGTTAGATGTCGACCTTTTTGTTTATAGTTTATATTCATGTAACTTTCTTGAAGAGAAATTCTAAAAAATAAATTTTTTTAATATTAAATAAAAAATTAATATTAGTTTTATCTTAATTTAAAGCTAGTGAGTGATTAATATTTTTATGCATTTATTATTTATGTACTGTAATTTTTATATAAAACTTTCAAAGTAATAAATAATGTACCAAAATATAAATAATAATAATAATGCAGATATTAATATACACTAACTAATTAAAATTTTCATAAGTTAGCGTATTAACATGACTCAACATGTTAGTATTAACGTTAATTTGTACCTAGAGATACATATATATACATACATATTAATAATGCAAGTTATGAAAAATTGTAAAAAAAATACAAACTTTTTGTTAGGAGGTCTATTTTTAATGGCTAAGATATTATAAAAAAAAAAAATTTGTAGTTCTTTGTTTTATGAAATAACAAAATTACTTGTTTCTTATAAATACTATTTTATTTTTCTATGTAACTGCTTTTTAAATAGAAATACTTGGAGAAAAGACTCAGCAGATTTAAATGAGAGTGGCCGGTCACGAACCTTGCAAATTGTTTCTGCTCATCAGTAGCAGTTGGATCTCCGTTAAGTTTCCTATGCTTCTTGGTATTGGTCCTGTGAAGCCATTGATGGACAGCTCCAAGTCTTGAAGCTTCCTGCATTTGCCCAAACTGGAAGGAACTCGACCATCTAACGCATTTGAAGCTAAAACAAAACGCTCAACATTTGGAAGAAAATCACATACGCTATCTGGGAGATTACCAGAGAGATTATTGAGTGCCAAGTCAATCCAACGCAAAGACGAAATGTTATAGATCTGAGGAGGTATTCTTCCCGAAAGATGATTTTGTCTGATTCTGAGTTGTTCCAGGTTGTGAAGTTCAGCCATCTGGTAAGGAATGTTTCCTTGTATCAAATTAAAATTCAAATCCAACACCTCGAGGGTTGATATGTTGGATAGAGTAATCGGGAGAGTGCCTGTGAAATTGTTGCTACTTAGAATCATGTACTGAAGCCTGGATAAGTTCCCAAACCAGTCTGGTATTTCTCCGCTCAGTCGATTATACGTTAAATTGATTGATTCTAATCGATTCAACCTTCCTAGGTCTTTCGGGAGACGGCCGTGGAAATTGTTTTTGCTCAAGTTAAGGGAGAGAAGGAAGGAGAGGTTCCCTAGATGTGGAGGAACGGTTCCCTTAAGATCCATATCTGCGAGGTCTAAAGCTGTAACTCTTCTTCCATGGCGACCACCACTGCAAGAGACACCAATCCAGTTGCAGACGGAGACGGAGGTGGTCCAATTGGAGGCCAAGATGCTTTGAGGGCTAACCGTGATATGAGCCTTGAATCCAGCGAGAGCTGATTGATCGGTAGTGAAGTCGGTGATGCTGGCTACTGTAACTAAAAAGCAATGTAGGAGAAGCAACAATGAAACCAAGTGGATGACCATCTTCTCCATGACCATGAGATCGAAGTTCCTTTTCTGTTGTTTTTAATAAAATGGCATTTAGTGCATCCTTTATTTCTTCTCGAATATCTCCCAATCAAATCATAAATAAGTTCTCATGAAGCTGCCTTCCAATAAAATCACCCACCCACCCACGAGTAAATAATTCCTATAAAGTTCAAAATAGTAATGACAAAGAAACAAACAAAAACTTTCCCACCTCTACCTTTAGAGCAGCACTCACTCGATTGTTGCATAAGAACCAGATAAAATGCATATTCTTCGATCGAAGTGATGGTTTTTAATCATCAATACTTTAGTGCAATTGATTCTGTCCATTACATAAAAAGTGTATGTAATCTTAAAACATTTAAGTCTTTAACTTCGCTCGAATCTTCAATATTTTCAGAAAGAGTTCAATAAATACACCATTTCACCAAGGCCCAAGTGTGTATTATTTACATATTTATATTTACTAATGATTTGTGATTAATTTGCAATGTAGGAAAAGCAATAGTGAAAACCAAATTAACACCCACCCACTTTCTCTTTGTCCAAATGTTTTTTTTTGTTTTAATTAAAGACAAATTTAATAACATTTTTAAATTCTTCTCCGATATAATTCAATAATCCACATTTTTTTACTAACAATAAAAAAATAATTAAATATTTCATAAAATATCAATCATTTTATAATTTAATGTCAATTTTTTTTATTGGTTTATAGTTTCTAAATTTTTTTTTTTTTTTTTTGAAGTGGCGTATTGAACTATATTTTATATTAATAGCATCTATTATATTATACATACATTTTTTTCACATTTTCCAAAAAAAAAACGACATAAAATCATCAATTGTCTCACTATTAACAATTGAAGCAAGTTGGTGAGGGCACCCATTAGAATTAATTGCATTGCTTGACAAAAAGAGTCCTACAATTAAAGAAACTACTAAGATTACAACTACCTAGTTGACAAAAAGGTTGACGCCACATTAAGAAAGTCAATTATTTAACATTTCACTCAATCAAAAATGGGTAGAAACTCATGCATGTAATATTTAGTCCATTTCCATAATTGAGAGGAACTCTTTATTCATTCTACATTGAAATGCATACCGCATGGAATAAGATAAATGGGCATGACCAAATCGTTTTTCTCACTGTGGATGCCGCATGATGCTTGACATTAATTGTTGCAAATATTTTGTTCTATGCTGTACTGAGTCCATTCATTAATAAACTTGTAAAATTTTATGAAGTTTTTTATTCCAATCTAGTTTTTATTTCACTATCCGGAACGCTTATCTACTAAATGTTTCATTATAATCCTGTCTTTTGTGTCTTTTAGACATTATAACAAGAAATTTTTCGTAATTACGGTGCCCTCCGACTAATGGTTTCAAAATTTTGTGATCCAACCTTGGTATTACACTCGGCCACTGGCTTATTACTCGATTGTAAATGGAGGAGCAGTTGCGTAAATTTCCACATCTGAATTTGGTGACTCAATGTTTAAGCATTGGGACTCAAAAGATTCATCAGTAAAGCATTATGTTTCCAATCCTACAATAATATGGTTGCAAATAGCACATCAAAGTTGAATTAAACAATATTGTACAAATAATTCCATTTTGATATGCCTTATCACGTGTTCTTGATTTCGAATTTCCCAAACTACCTGTGTAGCGCCCGGGAAATTGAAGAAGAAGAGAAAAAAAAAAAAAAAAAGGGGGGGCCACGTCAGCAGCCACGTCAGCAGACCCAGTCAACAGTCCCGGCCAACCGGGACCTGCCACGTGGCAAGACCACGTCGATCCGGGACGGGCCACGTTGGCGATCCACGTATGCGCGATCAGACGGCCCAGATCAAACGTGCGATCGGACGGCCCAGATTAAATCAAAATGGATGGCTGAGATCAAAAGGCAAAAGGGTATAAATAAGACCCACACACCAGACCACAAAACCCTAGCCGCCTGCCCTCGCCGGAGAAGACGAACCAGAAGCCGGCCGCCGCCACCCACCGCCGCACCGGAGGGATTTCTGACCGCCGATCGAGGTAAATTTCATACCCCCGACTCGTTTTTCCACGCTGATTTCCCCTGTGGTCAAATCGGAGCCAAAATCTCGGCCAAACGGCCGAAGCCCAGCGGCGCCGCCGCGCCCCTTTTCGGTTTTTGCCTCCGATGAGGCCCTTCCCGGCCTCCGTTTAATGCAATTTTTATATCACCGTGATCACCATTCTTTTCTCTACAGGTTGATCGGAGCCGAATCACCAAAACACGAACTTCACCGGAGAGCCGCCACACCCGATAGCACCGCCGCCGGTAAGCTTCGGTTTTTCGTAATTTTTTGGCCCCCCGAGGGCCCTAGAGTTGTTTAATCACAAGAATCGATGCAAGTGTGGCCGAATTCGGCCGAAAACGGCTGAAAACAGCCAAACCGAGGCGAATCGCCGCCGCTTGCGGCGGCGCCGTCGCCGGAGCACGGCGGAGCCGCCGTGCCGGAAATGCGATATTGGCCGAAAGGGGCCCTGGGCCTAATTTGGGATTTTTTGGAACACGTGCAGGTACCAGTAGTGCGTTTCAGTTCCCCGAAAAAAATTCAGGAAAAATTAGGGACAGCCTGTAGGCGCACTGTGAAGCCGTGTTCGGACCCCGAAACGTGTAAGGACCCCTCATCCTATTTCCTATCACGGTTTTAAAGTTCAATAAATGATAAAACGGTATTTCATGAATCACGAATGTGTGAATTGCTTAGGGTCGCTAATGGAGCCCGAGTCTAGTGTGTTTGTCGGTTAACTGTTATTTGGCCTGTTTACAGTTTA